ATGGAATGAAGATGGTAATCAATCTTTGAACGGTAAAGAGGAAGAATCCTTTGATTCGTTTAGTATTTATGAAACAATGGAAATAATGAAAGAGGGTAGTAAACGACCGCAATAGCAGATTGTGTCCAAAATTGTTTAAAATCCATCGCATACTTCTCCTGTTTCTGCTCCTGTTAACTCTTACGTAAGTGTCGTTAGGGGAACTTATTTGGAAAACTGTAGTAAAGCGCAGGTGGAGGAGATTATTGATTTAACTTATGTCGATTTCATTGTGGAAAAAAGTAAACGTGTATGTCTGGTGAAGGCTAGAAACTTTCCCACTCTTCCTAATTTACGTATGCTTTGTTTTGATGAAGGGTTTGAGGATTTTTATATGAAATATGTACATGGCTTATGGGTTATGATTGAATTCAAATCTAAGCATTCTTTTAAAAAAAATTAAAATTTTATGTGTTCTGATGTGATGGATCATTGGCTATTGGAGAAACGAGCTTAGGATCAAAATTTCATTGCTTTGGAATGTATTGTTTGGGCGGATATTGAAGGGATTCCTTTGAGTTCTTGTAGTAAGGATTAGTTTAGAAAAACTATCGCTAAGTGAGGTTAAATTGCTAAAATGGAAGATGATATTGGGGAAGAGATGTACAAGAATTGGGTTTGCATTCTATCTACCTCTTAAAATATTATTTTTAATATTGTGAAAGTTTGTATGGATGGTGTTATGTTCACTGTTAGAGTCAAGAGGCCCCGGGTTGGATTCCTTCTTTTGTTTATGGTATTCCAAAAGTGGAGATTGGAGATTGTGATTCATAAGGCCATGATGGAATGAAGATGGTAATCAATCTTTGAACGGTAAAGAGGAAGAATCCTTTGATTCGTTTAGTATTTATGAAACAATGGAAAAATGAAAGAGGGTAGTAAACGACCGCAATAGCAGATTGTGTCCAAAATTGTTTAAAATCCATCGCATACTTCTCCTGTTTCTGCTCCTGTTAACTCTTACGTAAGTGTCGTTAGGGGAACTTATTTGGAAAACTGTAGTAAAGCGCAGGTGGAGGAGATTATTGATTTAACTTATGTCGATTTCATTGTGGAAAAAAGTAAACGTGTATGTCTGGTGAAGGCTAGAAACTTTCCCACTCTTCCTAATTTACGTATGCTTTGTTTTGATGAAGGGTTTGAGGATTTTTATATGAAATATGTACATGGCTTATGGGTTATGATTGAATTCAAATCTAAGCATTCTTTTAAAAAAAATTAAAATTTTATGTGTTCTGATGTGATGGATCATTGGCTATTGGAGAAATGAGCTTAGGATCAAAATTTCATTGCTTTGGAATGTATTGTTTGGGTGGATATTAAGGGATTCCTTTGAGTTCTTGTAGTAAGGATTAGTTTAGAAAAACTATCGCTAAGTGAGGTTAAATTGCTAAAATGGAAGATGATATTGGGGAAGAGATGTACAAGAATTGGGTTTGCATTCTATCTACCTCTTAAAATATTATTTTTAATATTGTGAAAGTTTGTATGGATGGTGTTATGTTCACTGTTAGAGTCAAGAGGCCCCGGGTTGGATTCCTTCTTTTGTTTATGGTATTCCAAAAGTGGAGATTGAAGATTGTGATTCATAAGGCCATGATGGAATGAAGATGGTAATCAATCTTTGAACGGTAAAGAGGAAGAATCCTTTGATTCGTTTAGTATTTATGAAACAATGGAAATAATGAAAGAGGGTAGTAAACGACCGCAATAGCAGATTGTGTCCAAAATTGTTTAAAATCCATCGCATACTTCTCCTGTTTCTGCTCCTGTTAACTCTTACGTAAGTGTCGTTAGGGGAACTTATTTGGAAAACTGTAGTAAAGCGCAGGTGGAGGAGATTATTGATTTAACTTATGTCGATTTCATTGTGGAAAAAAGTAAACGTGTATGTCTGGTGAAGGCTAGAAACTTTCCCACTCTTCCTAATTTACGTATGCTTTGTTTTGATGAAGGGTTTGAGGATTTTTATATGAAATATGTACATGGCTTATGGGTTATGATTGAATTCAAATCTAAGCATTCTTTTAAAAAAAATTAAAATTTTATGTGTTCTGATGTGATGGATCATTGGCTATTGGAGAAACGAGCTTAGGATCAAAATTTCATTGCTTTGGAATGTATTGTTTGGGTGGATATTGAAGGGATTCCTTTGAGTTCTTGTAGTAAGGATTAGTTTAGAAAAACTATCGCTAAGTGAGGTTAAATTGCTAAAATGGAAGATGATATTGGGGAAGAGATGTACAAGAATTGGGTTTGCATTCTATCTACCTCTTAAAATATTATTTTTAATATTGTGAAAGTTTGTATGGATGGTGTTATGTTCACTGTTAGAGTCAAGAGGCCCGGGTTGGATTCCTTCTTTTGTTTATGGTATTCCAAAAGTGGAGATTGAAGATTGTGATTCATAAGGCCATGATGGAATGAAGATGGTAATCAATCTTTGAACGGTAAAGAGGAAGAATCCTTTGATTCGTTTAGTATTTATGAAACAATGGAAATAATGAAAGAGGGTAGTAAACGACCGCAATAGCAGATTGTGTCCAAAATTGTTTAAAATCCATCGCATACTTCTCCTGTTTCTGCTCCTGTTAAGTCTTACGTAAGTGTCGTTAGGGGAACTTATTTGGAAAACTGTAGTAAAGCGCAGGTGGAGGAGATTATTGATTTAACTTATGTCGATTTCATTGTGGAAAAAAGTAAACGTGTATGTCTGGTGAAGGCTAGAAACTTTCCACTCTTCCTAATTTACGTATGCTTTGTTTTGATGAAGGGTTTGAGGATTTTTATATGAAATATGTACATGGCTTATGGGTTATGATTGAATTCAAATCTAAGCATTCTTTTAAAAAAAATTAAAATTTTATGTGTTCTGATGTGATGGATCATTGGCTATTGGAGAAACGAGCTTAGGATCAAAATTTCATTGCTTTGGAATGTATTGTTTGGGCGGATATTGAAGGGATTCCTTTGAGTTCTTGTAGTAAGGATTAGTTTAGAAAAACTATCGCTAAGTGAGGTTAAATTGCTAAAATGGAAGATGATATTGGGGAAGAGATGTACAAGAATTGGGTTTGCATTCTATCTACCTCTTAAAATATTATTTTTAATATTGTGAAAGTTTGTATGGATGGTGTTATGTTCACTGTTAGAGTCAAGAGGCCCCGGGTTGGATTCCTTCTTTTGTTTATGGTATTCCAAAAGTGGAGATTGGAGATTGTGATTCATAAGGCCATGATGGAATGAAGATGGTAATCAATCTTTGAACGGTAAAGAGGAAGAATCCTTTGATTCGTTTAGTATTTATGAAACAATGGAAATAATGAAAGAGGGTAGTAAACGACCGCAATAGCAGATTGTGTCCAAAATTGTTTAAAATCCATCGCATACTTCTCCTGTTTCTGCTCCTGTTAAGTCTTACGTAAGTGTCGTTAGGGGAACTTATTTGGAAAACTGTAGTAAAGCGCAGGTGGAGGAGATTATTGATTTAATTTATGTCGATTTCATTGTGGAAAAAAGTAAACGTGTATGTCTGGTGAAGGCTAGAAACTTTCCCACTCTTCCTAATTTACGTATGCTTTGTTTTGATGAAGGGTTTGAGGATTTTTATATGAAATATGTACATGGCTTATGGGTTATGATTGAATTCAAATCTAAGCATTCTTTTAAAAAAAATTAAAATTTTATGTGTTCTGATGTGATGGATCATTGGCTATTGGAGAAATGAGCTTAGGATCAAAATTTCATTGCTTTGGAATGTATTGTTTGGGTGGATATTAAAGGGATTCCTTTGAGTTCTTGTAGTAAGGATTAGTTTAGAAAAACTATCGCTAAGTGAGGTTAAATTGCTAAAATGGAAGATGATATTGGGGAAGAGATGTACAAGAATTGGGTTTGCATTCTATCTACCTCTTAAAATATTATTTTTAATATTGTGAAAGTTTGTATGGATGGTGTTATGTTCACTGTTAGAGTCAAGAGGCCCTGGGTTGGATTCCTTCTTTTGTTTATGGTATTCCAAAAGTGGAGATTGAAGATTGTGATTCATAAGGCCATGATGGAATGAAGATGGTAATCAATCTTTGAACGGTAAAGAGGAAGAATCCTTTGATTCGTTTAGTATTTATGAAACAATGGAAATAATGAAAGAGGGTAGTAAACGACCGCAATAGCAGATTGTGTCCAAAATTGTTTAAAATCCATCGCATACTTCTCCTGTTTCTGCTCCTGTTAACTCTTACGTAAGTGTCGTTAGGGGAACTTATTTGGAAAACTGTAGTAAAGCGCAGGTGGAGGAGATTATTGATTTAACTTATGTCGATTTCATTGTGGAAAAAAGTAAACGTGTATGTCTGGTGAAGGCTAGAAACTTTCCCACTCTTCCTAATTTACGTATGCTTTGTTCTGATGAAGGGTTTGAGGATTTTTATATGAAATATGTACATGGCTTATGGGTTATGATTGAATTCAAATCTAAGCATTCTTTTAAAAAAAATTAAAATTTTATGTGTTCTGATGTGATGGATCATTGGCTTTGGAGAAAAGAGCCTAGGATCAAATTTTCATTGCTTTGGAATGTATTTTTTGGGTGGATATTGAAGGGATTCCTTTAAGTTCTTGTAGTAAGGATTAGTTTAGAAAAACTATCGCTAAGTGAGGTTAAATTGCTAAAATGGAAGATGATATTGGGGAAGAGATGTACAAGAATTGGGTTTGCATTCTATCTACCTCTTAAAATATTATTTTTAATATTGTGAAAGTTTGTATGGATGGTGTTATGTTCACTGTTAGAGTCAAGAGGCCCCGAGTTGGATTCCTTTTTTTGTTTATGGGATTCCAAAAGTGGAGATTGAAGATTGTGATTCATAAGGCCATGATAGAATGAAGATGGTAATCAATCTTTGAACGGTAAAGAGGAAGAATCCTTTGATTCGTTTAGTATTTATGAAACAATGGCATTAATGAAAGAAGGTGAGGTGACAAACAATGTGTCGAGAGGTTTTAATGGTTGTGGTAATGGTAAAAAAATTAAAAATTATAAGGAGGACCTTCAGGGGCAAAATGGGAATAAAGCTCCAGAAAATTCTCATTATGCTCATTCTTCAAGATCGGTGATTATAAAAGTTTCTAATGTGTCTCCATCTGTTTTGAGCTCAGATTTTCCTACTGCTCCGATGATCTCTATTGTTCCAGCAGTAATCCCGTTCACAGAATCTGTTTTTTGTCCCTCTGATTGTCTGACAGCAGCTCTTGTTGCACCTCTGTTACCGACACCTGTTGTTGTTACGTTTCCTATGTAAGTTTTGGTTAAACCTAATGATGTTGCGTGCACGTCGACTTCATCTGCTGTTGTTTCGGTCGGATTCACGAGTGGGTATGTTCGGATGTCGGGGATTTAAGCTTCATATGAATCTTTGTCACACCTCCAAGTTTTCCTGACATATTTTGTGGAGGTAATGACATGAATTCGGAGGGCCGTTTAATAGGAACCCTTTTGTGGAGGAAACAAACAGGACGATGGAAACGGGTAATAAAATTGGATTTGACATGTATGGTTGTTTTAAGCATGTTCAAAGTATTATTCAAGGAGAGGTGGTAAAAAATGTTTAACCATGAATTGTTTGTCATTAAATATCCAAGGAGCGGGGTGTATTGATAAGCGGGTTTGGTTAAAATCGTTATGTCATAAATTTAAAGTGAAATTTTTAGCTATTCAATAAAGGAATATGGAATTTATTGATTTGTTGGTGGTTCGTTACTTTTAGGGCAATGTTTCGTTTTCTTATGCTTATTCTCCTTATCATGGCGCTTCGGGGGGTATTCTTGTCATTTAGCATCCGGATCGGTTTAGTAAAAAACTTGTGTTTTCTTCTGATTAGTATGTATTCGTGGAGGGGGTTTGGTTATCTTCTGGTTTGGAGGTGTTGTTTATTTCAGTTTATACCCCACAAGGGATTAACTATAAAAGACAACTTTGGGGATAGATTTTACAGTTGATGGCTTCTGGCTCAGGGGTGTGTGTTTTGATGGGACATTTTAAAGAAGTTCGGGATGAGTTGGAACGTTTGGGGTCTCAGTTCCATCCAGCTTCAGCTAGGATCTTTAATCAGTTTATTGAGCAGGCTGATTTGTTTGATATTGCTTTGGGTGGTCCCTAGTTTACTTGGAGTGATAAATGGGTGTCAAAGTTTAGCAAATTAGATCGTTTTCTAGTTAAGAATGGTATTTTGTCGATTTTCCTCATCTTTCGGGGTTAGTTTCGAGAAAAAAATTCCAGATCATCGCCCTATTCTTTTGATGGAGCATTGTCTCGATTATGGTCTAAAACATTCTCAGTTCTTTCATTCTTGGTGCAAACAGGAGGGTCTTGATGATGTGGTTCGAGAGTCTTGGTCTACGGTTTCTGATACGGAGGCTATTCATAATCACCGAGTTATTTTTAAGAAGAAACTCCAGCTTCTTAAAATTAATCTTAGGGTGTGGTATTCTAGTACTCAAGTTGCAATGGATAGCAAAAGAAAACTGTTACAAGAAAAGATTGAGTCAATTGATGATACTCTTATGCATGGTGATGGTAGTGTTGAGCTTGTCGAACATAGAGTTTCGATTTTGAAGGACTTGATGGATTTAGATCCTCTTTTGAGAGTGGATCTTGCTCAGAAGGAAAAAGTCCAGTAGGTTATTAAGGGGGATGAGAACTCTGAATTTTTTCATGGTTCTATTAATGGAAAGAGAAGTCAGTTAGCCATCAAGGGGGTTTTAATTGATGGTGTTAGCGTTGATGATCTGGGGAGGGTCAAAAATGAATTTCATAATTTCTATAGAAATCCCTTTTCTAAGAAGAGAGGGATTTTCCTTTCTACTAATCCTGCTCTCTCTCTCTCTCTCACTCTTTTGGAAGCTCAGGTTTAGTTCCTTCAGGCTCCTTTTTCTCTTGATGACATAAAAATGGCAGTTTCGGATTACTGTTCAGATAAGGCTCCAGGTCCAGATGGTTTTTCTTTTGGGTTAATAAAGCGCTATTGGGATCTTATTTCTACAGATGTGGTGGCATTTGTTCAGTATTTCCATTCTCACTCTTTGATCCCTAAGGGTTGTAAGGCCCCTTTTTTTTACTTTCATCCCAAGGTTCGAGATCTGAATGTCATTAAGGATTTTAGACCTATTAGTCTTTGGATGCCAATATAAAATTATTGGTAAGCTGTTAGCTAATAGATTGGCGGAGGTTATTGGTTTTGTTGTTAGTTTGGAGCAATCTACTTTCGTTAAAGGCAGACAAATTTTAGATGGGCGTTTCTTTTGAAAGAGTTGGTTTCTTGGAGTAAGACTTCGAAAAATGCACTTATGATTTTTAAAGTGGATTTTGAGAAGACTTATGATTCTGTTGTGGGAGTATCTTTTGGAGATCATGCATATTATGGGGTTCGATTCTATTTAGTGTGACTAGATCAGGGAGCTTTTGAGCACGACTAGGGCTTCAGTCCTAGTGAATGGTTCTCCTATTGTTGAGTTTCAAATTCATAAAAGTGTGAGACAAAGATATCCTTTGTCTCCATTTCTCTTTGTTTTGGTGATGTAAGGGCTTCAAGTTGCTCTCCTTAGAGCAAAACAAGCGAATGTTTTTTGGGGAATTTCTATTAGTGACATTGACATTTCTCACCTGTTTTATGCTGATGATGTTGTCTTGCTGTCTTATTGAGATCAAAATAATGCTAATCGCATTATTCGTATTTTGCGGTGCTATTATCTAGCTTCGGGTCTTAAAATCAACTTGCATTAAAGCAAGTTGATTAGAGTGGGGGGTTTCTTATTCACGGGTGGAGATGGTTGCTAGTAGATTGGGTTGAGCTCCAGACTCTCTTCCTTTTGTTAACTTAGGTTTGCTTGTTAGGCAAAATATGGCTCAGGTGTCGGCTTGGTCTGTTGATGTAAACCGCTTTCGCTCCAGATTGTCGGGTTGGAAGGCGAAATTTCTTTCTTTTGGAGGTCATCTTACTTTGATCAAATCAGTTCTAGGGAGTTTAGCTAGCTATTTGATGTCCATATTCATGGTCCCGATTTTTGTCGTTAATTCGCTGGAGACTCTTCAGTCTAGATTCTTTTGGGGTGCATATTTTGGACAAGACACATATGCACTGGGTCCATTGGGATAGAGTTTTAGCTGACAAAAAATAGGGTGGTCGAGGAGTTAGGAGTCTATTTTCCTTCAATAGGTGCTTGCTCTTTTGTTGGCGTTGGAGATTCTTTCTTAACCCATATTTGTAGTCTTTTTGTCCGATCAGGGTTGGAGATAGGAATAGGACTTAATTTTGGCATGATGTTTGGAAGGGTGATCAGCCTCTAACAATGACTTTTCACAGGATTTTTATGTTGGATATTCATAGATCTGTCTCGGTTCGGGGTAGGGATGTGATTGGTTGGGATACTGATTCTCTTAGGTGGCCTCCTAGAGGCGGAATTGAGCAGACACAGTGGGACGATTTTATTTCCTTGATGCTTGATCTTCAGCTTGATTCTAGACCCGATCGTTTGGGGTGGTCTATTGATGTTTCGGAAGCTTTTTATGTCTCTTCAACTCGATCTTTTTTTGATATGTATGTTGTATATGGGTTGGTGTGAAACTAAATGGAAAAAATGGGTTCCTATTAAGTTAAACATCTTTATTTGGAGGCTAAGGTTACATAGCATTCCCACTAGAGGGAGACTCTCTCATCGAGGTGTAACATCCCGATGTGAGGTAGTTCTAAATTTAACCCTTTAATTCATTTGTGTTGCATTTTGGTCCCAAGTTCAAGAAATGTATTCAAAAGGGCCTTAATGGCATTATTGTAATTTTAGGCCTTCGGAGTACGTCATGCGTATGTGGTGTACGCTGAGCACTGGGCATACTTGCCAGATGAGGAAACCCTAATTTTTAGGGTTTGGCTGGTATTTAAGCATTGTTATGGCCTCATTTCCTTCACCTTATCAACCACCACCCTCTCATACGTGTTTGTAACCCTAATATCCTCTTGAGGACCCATTTCTAAGCTTTTGTGTGTGTGTTTTGGTGCTTTTCAAGAAGAAGGATGGAAGAGAAAACCACCTTGAAGGAGTGAAGCTTTCTAGATCCAGGATCACACCACCTTTTCGCACCATTTTGAGGTATCAAGTTCTGAACTTCGTGTAGTTTCTTGTAGATCTTGTTTTGGGTTAGTTTTAGGTTCTTTTGTCCCAAATGTGGTGTTTCATGAACAAAGCATGTTCTTGACCCATTAAGTTGTCCATTCATACCCTTGGGAGGGTCTTGAGTCATAAAATGGGTTTCAAATGGTTGGTTTTGCTCCATGCATCTTGTAGAATGTCTTAATGGATTAAGAAGTTGAGATAAGCACTTAATGGCATGCAAAGTCATAAAGTTGGAAACTTTATGACTCTAGAGTGTATTTTAGCCTTGGATCTGAAATACGGACATAAGTGCTTAAGCCATTAAGAACTTAATGAGTTTTGAAGTTAGCGAGAGTACGCCCCGCGTACGAGGTCAACCACCCTAATAGTGGTCAACATGTGAGGACTCAAGTACACCCAACGTGCCTTCGGAGTACGCCCTGCATACTCGCATTGGGTCAATCCGATTGAGTTGACTCATTTGGGTTGACTCGGTTTGGTGGACTCAGTTAACTTAGTTGGTGTGACCAGTTGAATTTGACTTTGACCAAGTTTGATCTTAAGGATATTTTGGGTATTTTGGGAATTCTAATTGAGATTGGTCATTTGGTTGGAATAGGAGGCGGTTGGAGTTGAGATTCGGAGTTGAGACCTCATCAACGTTTGTCTATTTTGCGAGGTGAGTTTTCCTCATTGTACTTACAGGTTGAAGGCACCAAAGCCAACACATTGGTTTGATATCCTGTTATTCACTGATATGTTGAGTATGGAATAGATATGCATGATTATGCTAGTTGCCGATGTGCTAGTCTGGTAGATCTGTAGGACTACATGTGATTCTGTTTGCATGATTATATGTATATGTGTATTATCTGTTATATGTCAACATATTGTGTTGGATTGATGTTGTACTGCTCCGTATTGTACCCAGCAAACCCTGGAGCACTCCGGATATGAGTTGAGGGCCAGGTAGGGAATTCCAGACTTATACTGAGGGCTCATGAGCATTCCAGATACGATGTGAGTACCGGATGGTATTCCAGACTCATACTGAGGGCTTGATGGTATTTCTGTCCAAGGACTAATCTGGACAGGGAGCAAGCCATACATAAACTGTGAGTCCTGAGGGCAAGCCAGACTTATGTTGGGGGCT